AAAGCAAAGCAGCATATCGTCAATGTATACTGTGATCTACGTATATTACATTCCAAAACAGCACCGCACACAGTATCCTTATTGCTCACACTAGCCGTTCGCCGCCGCTACGCGGCGGAGTGGCATGGTTTGTTGGAGATGAGGTGGCCGCAAATTTAAGTGCTTCTTGGTGTCGCGTGTTTTGAGAGCGTGGTTCACCCCGTAGATCTTGGCATCGTGTATTTAACCACTTGCCTTTCCGTAGTATCATGTGGACCCGTACAATATCGTGATTTGGTACATTTCGGTTATCCGTACTACAGGTTGTAGTCATGTTCTTCAATGGCCTGCGATCTTATGTGATCTTCCCGGCATCGTGGTTTCCTGCTCACCCGTGGTCCATGATGCTTGGTAATTATGGACCCTCTCTCTTGGGCTCATGCTCTTCAGTAGTATGACCCTCTTTCGTGGATGCTAACTATTTCCTGATCTCAAACGTTTACGGGGGCTGCACTGGTTTCGTGGTTCATAGTCTTTTGTGGTCGTTGGTTTCCCATCCAAGTACTCTACCTGAAGGGTCCTAATCCGTGGTTTGGTGCCTCCACGTAGTCGTGTTGTTCCGTCGCCCGTGTATCGCGCTCTCCTGGTAAGATTCCATCGACCGCGTTACGACGCTATGGAGCAATCGCGGTGTGGTAATGGTATTTATGGTATTGTGCTCGCGTAGTGCATCTGCGTTGCCCGTGTTATCGTGCTCTACATGGGCTTCGTGCTCCACGGTGTGCAATCGTGGTCACCCCAAGCACCCCCGTGATTTTCGTGGCTGGTCTGCCGTCCGTGCAATCGAGTTTTAATGTGCTACTGTCCTCCGTGGCTCGGGGAGCTCAGCTTCTACGCTGGTATCGTGCTCCGTAGCTCAAAGATCTCCCGTCTATAGCTCCTGTGGCTGTGCTCCCCTATGGCTTAGTGGCACAGTCCATGCTATCGTGTTAGCTTGCGATGTTGCGGTTGGTCTGTCGTCCGTGAGATCGTTAGCTACCGTAGTGTCGTGCTGTCGGACTCGGTGAGCTCCGATTCTACCCTAATATCGGGCTCCAATGCTCGGATGATCTTCCGTTTATGGTACATCGCGTTTTCACGTTTGGTCGGTCGACTGTGCTCCGTGTTGTACCGTGGTGCTATGGGAGAATTACTGTCCGTGCACTCTTACCGCTACGTACTCTACAGTGGCTTCGAAGTTGCGTGCTCCTCCGTAGCCGTGCATTTCAGCATGCTGGGGTGTCTATGTATTAAGTTCCCTTCCGTGGCCCGTACGCTCCCGTCATATTCTCGTTCTTCTGTTCTTTCCATGGCTGCGTGCACTTCCATCTTTCACGCTACGTAAAACACTTCGTGGTTTGCATCGGCTAAATCTTCTATCATCGTCCATGACGTTCCGTGCTTCGTGTTGCTCTTCTATCCCATCGTTTTTCGTGTTCTTGCTGAGTCGCGTGCCTCCGCGCAAACTTGATCACAAACGCTGTTCCGATTTTGTTTGATGTACACAACATATATTGTTGGAAAGATCACACAATATCTTAAGGTCGTGTGCAAATACAGAGGAAGATGATACTTTTCCCGGGGGCAGTGTGGGGTGCAGGGGGGTGTCGGGTGGGAAGTCATAATAGTCATATTTTAAAGTTTTCACATCCTAAAGTATCAATTATTAATAGTAGTAGTAGAGGTGTGATTTATTATAAACGTTAACATAATAATTATGTGGACTACTACTACAAATAACTGCAAGCAAAAATATGAAATGTCTTAAGAATAGTACTACGCAAAACAGTACTGTAAGTTAAATTATTACAAACCTACTACGAAGCAGATCAAATCATATTTAAACCAATAAGTACTAATGTTTTGATTGAGGCCGAAGTATGAGTCACCGAAGCCTACAAATCTTATCAACAGCACCTACGACGATAGAGAACGTGTGTGCTCATCGGCGCCTTTTAATTCAGCTAACTAACGCGTACACAGGCAGCGCCCTTCGCGTGGCCTTGCATACCGCAGCTGAAAATGAAAGCAAAATATAATTTGAGCGGTACATTTTAAGTACGATGTGTTGACCACATACAGTGTGTGCACCACATAATTCGATTCTAGCCAATCGACGCCGCCTTCGCTGCGCTCGGCAGCCAGTAGAACGCGCGTATTAGCGTGAGTCTTATTAGCCCTAGCCCGTTACGGACGGAATGACGGACGCAGACCACACTCCACTAGAGGGGTAAGATGTTATGGTAGACATGACCAGGGTTTAACGTGATCTGCAAGATGAGCACCATCTTACCCGGGAAGGTTTTGTCTATAATCTCGTTTGAACGCATTGCTCCCAAAATGACACGAATCGGAGGCGCGTGTAGCTGTCAGGTTTATATATGCTGTTCAGAAGACGTGTCAGTATCAATGATGACCCAAATTGACATAGTTCGGTGAGGAATCCAGTTTAGCTGGAATAAATACGCGTACACAAACATATTACAATCCGTCACGTCATCGCTGTGAAGCAGTCGACACCGTATCATTGATTGCAACGGTCTATTAGAGCAAGGTTTGGTCAGCTCCTCGCGCGAAGTATATTTTGGGACAGGAAGGTTTTGCCGATGGTCGCCACAAACACCAATATTATGTCTTTAAAATGTTCCGCTGAGCTCTTAACGATATTACGGAAGGGTCTTTCCACTATCTTTCCCATGCATTAATCTTACTTGCCTAGCTGACGCACTTACTAACTTATTTGCATAGCTACTGACTGACCAAGAGGCGTAGATCCTTTCCGAGTAGCATGCTCTGATATGTATGATGAACATGCGAAACCATATCGATATAGGCAGATTATCATATTAGAGTCGTGTTTAGATTTGAATCGAATAGTAGCTCGTGTACGTTAGATGCTGTACTCTCGTTACTACTTATCAGCTCGGTGTTATTTGATGTGTCCACGCATAACTTATTTCGTAAGCTCGCCAGAGCCACGCTCTCGCGGTAGCCAAAGCGCATGGGGTCACTGTGGCTTTCTTGGTACCTTTGCGTTATGGTGCTGGCTTACTGTGCTTACGCCTTTAATGTATCAGTCTATATGACCAGGCCGGTCACTAACTGGGATCGGGCCATACCGCAGCGATATAGGCAAGCGGACCGCGCGTCTGCTAGCAGATATATACGCGCGCGGCGGGTACACCTATATCCATCTCCAGCTCTGATCTCGACCAATTTGAACAGGACACTAAAGTACGGTACTGCGTACAGACACATCGACTTGTCATATCCACTTGTATGATCTGCATTACCGCACACGTGCTCGCGTCTACGTAGCCAGCAACGTATTCGTCGCGTGAAGTGCTAACTCAATACTGAAGCTTACTTTCGTGAGCGCACATTAGTGGAATATAAGCTGTGAGCGTTGGTCGAACAGATAGCATGGGTTTCCGCGTGCGAAGTGAGCGAGTGTACTTTTCATCTACGGTAACGCGTATGCAGATAGGGATGGCCAGATGCAAGGGTATACAGTAGATACCATGTGCTACTTATTATATGAAACGCGCTACGCTCTTAAGGTGCGTCAACACGCTTGGCAGCGTCATAGTCAGTTGTACCGTATGTGCGGCTCCAAACCTTGCACTGTGGTCCGGTATATTAAATACCAAAATAGGTGGGAAAATGGGGGTATATTTACCAGTTACTTGCTCTTCTGCTGCTTCTTTTGCTCAATGTACTTGGCGCTTCGGGCGGTCAACTTGCGAAGGCGGCTGCGCTTCTTCTTCCGTCAGGACCCATCGCCTTCTTGACGTTCGCCAGGCTTTCCTTGCGGTGCACTTCGGCCGACTCAGATGGTGGGGGCTTTTCCTCCCAGAACTCAACCGCTTTTGGGCAGTTCTTGCAGGCAACACAGCGCCGCACGATGTCCCGCCCGCTGTTTGTACGGAGCGCGTAGCCGTACTGCAGCTTCCCGCAGCAGACGCAGCTCGTCCAGGCATCTGTCGTAGACCGCTGTGGGTTCAGCAGAAGCGGGTAAATCTCCGCCTCGCATTGCTTGCACGTAGGGCCCATCATTTTGCAAACTGTGAGTAAGTTAGCAACATATATTGTTTTAACCAATTACTTGCGTCCAAATATTAGCCAATAGCACGGTAATGTAAGGCTGGTATTTATTAGTAAGCAAGATATTAAAATATTTTTAATATTAATATTTTGGCTTTGCTATAATAATATTTTTATATCAATTTTTCAAACAAATACATACTTTACATGCAATAAAAGTGACTAAAACATTATGTACCGTGCGCGCATGCATTCGTCAAATGTGGTGCACGGGAGCAGATAGCACGATGACCGTGCAGCCGCGCACCTTCATTGCACCGTGACAGTGGTGAGTGCCAGGTGAAGTAAAAAAAAAACATTCGGAAAGTCCCTACAAAAAGCACTGGCCAGCATGCCCGATTTGATGTACATAGGATAGGTTTTGCGTGGCTAAATGTAAATACGTACTCGTTAACGCAACTCACCTGGTTGTTTGCATCCAATCGGTGCGTTTCGTTCTCGGCAGAAATGTTTACCTTACGTCCAATCGCGATGGCGAGAGGCGGCTACAGATCCAGTCAGTGTCGCAGGTCGGCAGGTATTGCCCAATCAGGGCGCGAGTTAATTGTGTCACGCTTTTTGGCCATATTTGTAATTTAGGCATAGTAAAGTCGAGTCAGAAAGATAGGCGCGGTCGGTAGGATGGGAGAAAACTGTATAAGACAGGCCGGGTGTAGCCATGCGAAAAGGCAGGAAAAAGCAGCAAGAAAGGAACCGGACGGACTTATTGACAGACGGACGGACGGTTGGGGAGCGGGAAATAGAAATTTCTTAAACAATATTTCCAATCGTAAGATAGGGTCGGACCACGGTACCGGAAGTGAGAGAGATTGCTGTAAACACAATTTTCGTATGAAAATTCAGCCAAACATGACTGTCAGTAAAAAGCGGAGGAATTCATTAATTTACGAATCGGAGCGAATGCCGCGTGAGCTCATTACGCTGCAGGTGGGCCAATGCGGCAACCAGATCGGCCGGCAGTTCTGGCAGTTGGCCCTCGAGGAGCACGCACAGAACTGCAAGCGGGCCGAGTTCGACGAGAGCATGAGCACCTTCTTCCGTAACGTAGACAGCCGCTTCTGGCCGCCCGTCGATCTGCCTTTTATCGACGGTCAATCGCCCATCAAATCACTTAAGGCCCGTGCTATTCTCGTGGACATGGAGCAGGGGCCCGTGACCGAGACCATAGCTGGACCTCTGGGTGAGCTTTTCGACCAGCAGCAGCTTCTCACAGATGTGTCCGGCTCGGGTAACAATTGGGCGCACGGCCATTGTCTTTATGGCCCCAAATACAGGGAACAACTAGAAGACAAACTGCATCGCGCTGCAGAGCTCTGCGATTCTCTCCAGTCGTTCTTCGTCATGCACTCAATGGGTGGAGGCACAGGTTCCGGACTTGGTACCTTCATCTTGGGGCTGCTGGAAGACCAATACCCGGACGTGTACCGGTTCGCGACCGTCGTCTTCCCGTCCGAAGATGACGACATCGTTACATCCCCATACAACAGCATGCTCGCGTTGAGAGAGCTAACGGAACACGCAGATTGTGTGCTGCCTATTGAGAACGAGGCGCTGATGGATCTGTGCGCGAAGATCGACCGAGGAGCGTTGTCCACTGGGACTTTTTCGACGGATGAAAAACAATTCACGCGACTGGTGGATGGGTCATGTCTAACCGGTTGTGTGGACTTAAGCGAACTTGAATATCTCTATAAACGTGGCAAAAGACCGTCGACAACAAGTACAAAGCAGAACAAGAGGAAGGGCGTGACTGCACGCTCTAGTGCGCAGAAGAAGACGCACGTGTTTGGGGAAATGAACAATACTGTTGCGCGTCTTTTGACCAATCTGACGAGCTCGATGCGGTTCGAAGGCTCGTTGAACGTGGATCTGAACGAGATAACGACCAATTTAGTGCCGTTCCCCAAGCTTCACTTCCTTCTGTCGAGTATGAGCCCCGTATTTGCCACTTCCGACCCCAGACAGCAACCTCGGCGACTGAATCAAATGTTTACCGAAGCATTTCAAAAGTAAGTCCCGACTCGACTGTGGTGCTGCGAACGCAAGACTCACTGCTGTTGTATGTTTACGACAGGGACCATCAATTAATTCGGGCTAACCCACGAGCGAGTGTGTACTTGGCGTGTGGTCTGTTGATGCGAGGAAACGTGGAAGTATCGGACATCAATTCGAATATCCAGCGTTTGCATTCTGAGGTGCGTATGATTCACTGGAACCAGGAAGGCTTCAAGGTGGGGGTATGCTCGGTGCCACCTGTAGGCCAGAGATTATCGCTGCTGTGCCTATCGAACAACTGCTGCATTCGAGAAACATTTGAGCGATTGAATACGCGTTTCCACAAACTTTACAGCCGCAAGGCGCACGTGCATCACTACACTGAGTTCATGGATGCTGGTATGCTAAACGAAGCGCAGGAAAACGCTCGGTTTCTCATCGGAGAGTACGCCAAGCTAGAACGCGCTTCAGAGGCTACGCAACCAACAATAACGGCAAGCACGAGACGGTTGCAACCGCTTTTCTAGGACTGCGTGCTTGGTCTATGGGCACGACAGCCACGAGTTTGGAAAGGAGTGTCGATGCCAAGAAAACGACATGCAATTGGGTGGCTTGCTGTCTCAATTTAGCATTTGGTTGAGCGTAGCTTCCTTACCTCTTCTCAGGATGTGTTTTTCGGTGAACCTTGGCAACTACTACTGCAGTGAACCAAAGCATTCGTCCCTCAGGTCGAAAACAATTCGACCGAATACGGAACGCTGCAACTAAATTTCCAGAATGTGCGCACGGTGCTGATTTTAAGTACATCGATGCTCACAAGAACTCAGGAAATACTTGTTGACACCACGGACGTACCGCTTCAGCTACTGCCTTCAGCTACCGGCTTCAGTTACCGCGACCTATCCCACTATAAAACACCTAAATAATATCATATGGAATGGAGACTACGTCGCACAAGCTTCAGTTCAATTTATTCTGTCGAGGCTCCTTAGAGCGAGCGCTTTCTCTGCTTTCTTCCACACATTCGCGTGCCCGAGAACCGGGCGAACACAAACGGCGCGCGTGGTGAAACGACCTGTAGTGCTGCGCGTATCCGTGTTCTTGATGCTCACATCCCAGAATGTAAAAAAGGGTCTTGCTGCGACCACGGAGGTTTCACCCTTCCTATGACTCGGTCTTTCACACCACCGACGATGGCGTGAGGAGAGATTTGGGCTGCTGTAGCACTTCCTTCTTCGACAGGTCAATTTCTCCCTCCAACTCGCGTGCATCTGCGAGCTCATTCTCATTCTCACCCTCGCCATCGCTGCCGCTGCTACTTACGCTTGTGCTGTTGGGCGCATCTTGGTCGGTGGCGCCACTCTCGTTGACTGCAGCTTCTGCTACTGATACATTGTGAATGGGACTGCTTCCGATGCCGTCGAGAGACACCTCGACCGCCGCTTCTTCTGCCGCTACCTTGGTGGTGTGTGCTGGCGTCTGCATGATCTCGATAGCAACGTCTGCTTGAGTACTTCGTTCGTGCTCAAACGTCGATACTGGAACTTGTTTCGATGCCGTTGGCATCGGTGGGAAGGAATTTGGCAACGATGCTGACACAGCCGATGGGTTTGATGATCGCTCCGAGGTCGAGGAAGATACCACCTCATCTAGAGGCGTTTCTGAAGCCCTGGATTCATGAACAGTAGTCGCATTCGGAGGCAGTAATCGAACTGGAGATGGTCGGGGTCGCCTAGCGCTATCGATCGAGGCCTGTTGCCCTGATAGATTGGCTGGGGCAACGAGAGAAACTGGGGCAGGCACGGCCTTTGATAAAGCAACAGTAGGTGGTGCAGAAGCCGGGGCTGATGCTAAAAAACTAGTTCTTCCTGTAGACGAAGTTGAAGGCGAATCAGTTCTAGAAAGACCAAGTGCTCGACTTGGGGCACTGCTCACAGCAGCAGAGGCTGAAACATCCGGGTCGGGGATGCGAGCATCCGGGTGGAAGGCGCATACATCCTCAAAGATCAGCTCCTGCAGCTTCTGCTTCGTCAGGTCTGTATTTTCAAATGCGAAGTCGAAGGGCGTCGGGCATGTCCTCTCCACTGTCCGATCACGCACCAGGCTCAAGTACGGGTGAGCGAGAGCTTCTTGGATCGTGATACGCTTACGCGGGTCGAACACAAGCATCTTCTCCAGCAAATCGAGGCACTGTGGGTTGGCACGCGGATACACCGATGAGAGCGGTACCTTCGGCTTCTTAGGCTGGCGCAAGATAAACCGTTTTGCTTTGGGGTTGGTAATGAAGTCCAGCGAGTCTTCTAGCGGAGATCCCACCACGTCCATAATAATCTTTAGCTGATGCAGATAATCGTGACCAGGAAATAGAGGCCGCCGTCCCAGCATCTCTGCCAAAATGCATCCAATAGCCCACACATCCATCTGCTTGTCGTACTTGGACGAAAGTAGCAATTCTGGAGCGCGATACCACCGCGTCACGACGTACTCGGTAAGACCCGAGTCCATTCCCTGGATCCCTCGAGCAAGACCGAAGTCACACAGCTTCAAATCGCAATCTGAATTAACTAGAATGTTGGACGGCTTCAAGTCACGGTGCAGAACTTCAGCGGAGTGGACGTAGTTAATAGCCACCAGCATTTGATACAAGAAATACTGCACGTGGTCATCACTAATCGACTGGTTCGAGTGAATAACACGGTGCAGATCCGTCTCCATGAGATCCGTCACAATGTACACATCGTTAAACTCTTGTAGAGTTGAAGGACGAAGCAGATCAAGCAGATTCACCAGGTTCGGATGGTTCAGGTGACGCATGAGACGGATTTCTCGAAGAATTCGCTTGGCATCGATGAGATCGTTAAAAGCGTTTGGGATGTTTTTAATGGCGAGAGCTTGACCTGTCTCCGTGTCGCTAGCAGCGATCACACAGCCATACGCGCCTTGACCCACCGCCTTGATCATCTGGTACCGCTTCGGAACATCAAAGTTGGTGTTGCCTACTCGAAATTGGTGGTTGTCACGTTTCGTATCGCGGAAAGAGCAACCACGAGCCAACGCAACACGATGACTCATTGATTGGACCACAGCCCCTAATGGACGCACCAACGGCGTTGGGGCATTCAGGTCCAAACTGGGAGAGTTTTCGTCGATGCCAGATCGCGATGCAGTCGCACGAGACATCGCAGCGAACGAAGCCATCGAGGCTTCGAAGCTGATACTGAGTTGTACTCGTCCACACGTAAACTTTGTCTCGTTTGCGGACAGTAGAGTGTACCACTGCGGCACGGCACCACGGGCGATATCCGAGTGAATTACACTCTCCCGAACTGTTCGCGACGTACTGGCCAGTGCCAGGAACGGCGCCAGATTGACCTTGGCGACCCCAACCACACGTTCCGAGGCCTTCCCTGTGCCATCGCTGTCCACAACTTCCCACGCTTCGATCAGGATAAAGCAAGGCTTACCACGTGATGATCCTGCAAATGGGATCTCGTGCTTGGAGTTCCATTTGGGATTCCGAGCTTCGTCCGGGTCGCATGTGCGTGTTCGAGTGACGCAGTTGGCTGACGACGTTGGAGCATACACGTTAGTCTTACCGTCAGTTACCAAGCGCAGTCCCAGGAACACACGGCGGTTCGACGGTCGTTTATCATTGTCAGCTTCAGATCCGTCTGTCTGCTCGTCGTCGTCAACGAATCCCTGGTCTGAAATTTGTTCCCCACGAAACACGATGACGTGGAGTCTCCCTGCTGGATTGTCATGGACTGCGTTACCCACGACTGCCGCCATGGGCAGCGACAGACTCGACGTCGCACTGCATCCAAACACTGCTGAGGCAGCAATGGGGTCTGCTGAGATGGTGAGACTCTTGACGCGTCCGTCCGGTGCAAACTCGATTGTGTGCTGCCATTGCTGCGTAAATTTACGTCCATTATCTCTATTCTTCATGGTCTCTCGTCCGGCTACCACGGCGGTGCATCCTTCCTTGGCTTGAGCGATATCTGTCACGAAAAAGGCTGTGATCTCCACAGTCTCGTACAGGATAGAGAAGAAGTGCAATACACCGTCAAGACCGTGATATTCGCCCCAAAAAGGCACAGTAGGCGCATAATTGGATGTGAGTACGACGTCACGCGAGAGTTTGGGGAAAAACTGCGGCGATGACGAATGCGAGATGAGAAGCTGGCGGAAGGCGAAATAGAAGCCACGTAGATCCACCTGTGTGGGGGACGTCTGCAACTGTAGTGCCTCCATCCCTTCCATCGAAAGTCGACTGTGTGCATGGCGAACTCCTTCCTCAATAGCCGCCTGCATCATCTCGACCCACATGTCTTTCTCTAACTCTGTGGTACAGCACAGGTGGAAATGCTTGTGGCCCTGCGTCTCAATGAGGAAGCCATGCGCCTTGCCGTAGTTCTCAGGCCGAACCTTATTGATGATCATGCGGCCGCGCAGGTTGCGCGCACTGCGAGCCTCCTCCTTGGAATTGTAGTATGTGAGTGTGGCCCCGTCCAGGATGAGATACCGTTCCTCCCAGCGCGGCAGCCAGTCCCCTTTTTTGCGTACGTATCCCTCCCAGTGAACCTCGTGCGTCATGGCGGCGGGCGTCGAGGTGGTCGACGAGTCCATGAGTAGGTCATCCATATTGTTGTTGCTGGCAGTGTGACCGTTGCTGTTGCTGGTCAGCGCGCTGGCTTCTTCAGTGCCGCTCGCGAGCGCTCCAAGCAGCAAGTCACGCCCCTGCGCTGGAAGTTCCACCGCGGACGCAGGCGCGGGCGGCTCCATCGCGCCAGAGTAATTGTCGTTCAGCTTGCTGCCTTGCGCGAACTGAATCGAAGACTGTTGCAAATAGATCACGACAGCACAATCCCGAAATCAGCTGTCTTTGAGGTACGTTTATCTTGGATTAGCTAAATCAAAAGATTGACAAGGTTGAAACGATTCACAACGGATTCTCGATTTGCTGGTGGTCCCGAATCGGCGTCTGGTGAACGTGTACAGTACTGCACCCCGTTTTCGCAGGGGTGGACCACATAGGATTTGCAAATAAACTATATTTTAGCTGACAAATCACTGCTCGTTTCAGATTTTGGATCATTACATCCGGAGGTTTATCAAAATTCCGAGGACGCAAAAACGGGGTGCAGTACTGTACTTGTATTTATGCAAACGAAAAAAAAAAACACCTTCGGCACCTTCTGTACTTATAAGTCACTCTTTTGATTAAGTTGCCCCACCAAATCTGGCGTTGTTGTTCATCCTCCATTACCGTTTGAAGCTTCCAATCCATCTATTGGTACAAGCCCTCAGAGGAATGTCCGATGCGCACGTGCGCACAAGAGTAAGTAGGGATTGGCAGAATCTGCAGTGCCCAGACATCAATTACTGATCCGCGCTGGTTTCGTGCAGACGAGTACTCCCTGTCATTAAGTCGTCGGAACAAGGCGCACAAGTTTGGCGCCAAATCCATCTGGTTATACTAAATTGGCGCTGAATAGGTGGAAAATGAACGGTACGCCGGGCGCGGAGTAGATCTTAGTGGTTTGCCAAGATCCATGAGGATCTCTTTAGAAGTGGGAGCTATGCGCATGGTAATATGACAGCTAGCAAGCTGACTAATGGCACGTTATCAATGGGCTCTCTCACATAGTTCTGACCAATAACACTACGAGAAACGTATGGGTGTCGGCGTGGTGCAACGCGACATCGAGTGCAAATGATCAGACGTCCGGCGAAAAGGTCATCTCCAATTGGTTCACACACGTCCTCGTGGAAGCATCGTGACGTCCCGGGACGAACCAGAATACGCTCAATATCCAAGCCACTCGGGCGTACGCCTACTGCGCATACCCTACTCGTGTGGTGTAGCGGGATCAGCAAAATCTGCGAGATTGATGGATCCAAATTACCAACAGCGCCCAGACACCAACTTGCGAAGCCCCCCCCCCCGATGATCCGTGATCTGCTGAACTTTCCTCACCTTGTGTACCCGTCGGTAGGGCGGGATCTTGCTCTCTCGGTAGCTTCCGAATAGTTCAAGTGGTGAAGCTTGCGTGTCTTGGCGAGACGTGGGGATGGGGTGGAGCAGTAGTGGTAAGATCTTCACTCTGCGTCCGTAGTTGTTTCTGGATCCCACGCGAATATTCGAGCTTGGTGGGTCCAGGGACTAGATCTGGGATCTGGCCGTATTTTTCCTTGCGGGTTTGTTCCCTTGCCTTTGTTTTCCTTTGCGTCGTACTTGCCGCCTTCTGTAGCGGGATCTTGAGAGTTGAGAGCTTCTTAGGTATACCTGACCAAGTAGTAAATCTGGTTTACCTTGCGATTTGCACGTGTGGATGGAAAGCTCACTAGGTGGTAGGATCTGGCCAATATATTATCTAGTTATCACTACCAACACTAAAAACGCAATTATCAACCTTCACTGAGCTCGGTCAATGTAGTTCCGATTCTTGAGGGCAGGAAGGCACTTGTGTTCTGATTCATAGTTTAGCCTATAACTGCCTGGATTTCTACCATCTATGTCTTTTATCAAGTAAATCCCTTACCAGACTCGGCTACCTGCCCTTTCTCTACTTGGTCCATCCCCCAGCTGTATCAGCATCAGATCCACCGGATCCATGACGTAATCATTGTAAGGTCGCCATATCATGGGTACACTATCCCGAATCCAAGCAACTTTAGTCCACCTTACCGGACGTGTGCACACTTAGTGGATCTGATCCCTCTTATCATCCAAAACCACATTGCGAGTGTCTACAGTCTCCATCTCTCCGCGGAAGTTCGAGATCCATCGGAATTACCACCCCTATACTATAGATCCTAGTCACTTTGTGTGGGATCCTTAATCTGTAACGGGTCAGGTATTTACTCCGTTACTTGCTTACACTATAGTGTTGAGGAAGCTCTCAATAGAACGACCGAGTCTTAGGTTTAACGAAAAATCAGCTCTGCCTTTATTTTAGGACCAAGGCCACAGCCCTGGCCACTCAAATACACGTCATAGTCCAATTGGCTTATAATGGGGCTGGCTCCCCATATATTAGCCAATGACATGACAGTATTTCAGCACACGCTAGTCGTGCGCTAATGCATCTACTTATGCAAAGAAATTTACCTACTTATGTAATGGAGGGGCCCATTACATTACCCCCTCTTAAAGTTGCACTTACGCAACATAAGCGCTGATGAAGAGCATTGGAGAAGACTGCTGGGACGGCAGAGGCGACACTCGCGATATCAAGCCATTGGCGTATCAACAAGAGGCACCACGCTCGGCAACGAGCGTGTAGAGCGAGAAGCCATCTCAGACAACAGCTTGGAGGCCACCAGCGCTGGCGCTGGTGTCGACACACGTGGGCTTCGAGGTGCCAGGCGAGGAGGGGCTAGGTTCTGGTGAAGTGGAGCTAGGACCTTCGCACATGTCCTGAGGCACATCGTGTATTCTGCGACGTCGTGTTCAAGCGGGTAACGAAGCATGCCCGCGCGCAGTACGTTCGATTCCCACGGAGATCAAACTCCGCGACAACCGCACGTGCAAGTGTTTTTGCAAGGACACGATGATCACCACAGACGCAAATACGGGGCACCGGCTGAAGACTTTCTTGTGCTTGGGGATACATCCATCGTGGGACGTCCATGTTGTTTCAGCGGACACGAGGATCACGAAGACAGCGCACCAGGTTCTTGAGACCGCGAGTACGGGGACGACAACCACTTCACTCAGTTGACCGAGCGACGATGTGCGACTGCACAGAGTACGGAGAAGTATCCTGTAGACTCAGACGAGTGCGACGTCGGAATATAGCGTCCTGCGAGCTTGGGTTCCACTCGTCGTCGTGGAACCTCGCGCACTCACGCACTCACTCGCTCACTCACTCACTCACTCACTTGTTCACTCGGCTTACTCACCGAGTGGTTCAGCGGTACAGTGCCGAGCTCTCGTGTAGCTGGTCACCGGTTCGATCCCGGCGTCGACTCCAATTTTCTTCTTAATCATCACGGCGAGCGCCTCCGTGTACCCGCGGAGGCTGGTCGCCTTCTTCACTGCGGGTATCAATACCCGGCTCACTCACGCTTCGGAACGTGAGTGTCTTCTCGTATTAGCTCACGCTGTCGGGAACGTCTTCCAGCAAGCGACTGCGCGGCCCCCAAGTATCTTTACCTGGGGAGAGTCCCAGCCAACGCACGCGATAGTGTTGTTCCTTGTCCCGCAGGGCGCGACCCTGTGGAAACGCTTCAGTATGATCGTCGCAGGTACCATGACACTGGCGAAGGTCATGGTCGAAGATTCGCTCAACGATCCAACGCTGAGCGCCCGAGGAACCAATCAAAGGAGGAGGACCATCTCACTGGAAAGTTGCCGCGTCGCTCGAGGACGAATCAGCGTCCGGGATCTCGGACGGATGGTACTTCTTTAAACATCTGACGTTCTACGTCGGATGTAGCCGTAGTGTTGAAGGAATGTCGAGCGTATAGGCGTCACCAATAACCTTGGTTACCGTAAACGGTCCAATAAAGCGCGGCGCGAGTTTGTTCGCGCCGAGGTTGGTGACCGCTGAGTTTCTGATACCTTCAGTCGACAGGAACACTCGTTCGCCTGTCGTAAATGTGGCCGTTTTCTTGCGGCCATTCTTGTCAGCGTTCTCCTTCCGCTTGTCCACTGCGTCCTGCAGTGCGTCTCGAACATAGCGGGTGACCGTTTGGCGCTGTAGTACAAAGTCGGAGACGACTGCGGAGTCGATTGGTCGCGCCGCATGCGTCGGCGCGTAGTTAGCCGGCGCAAGTGGGCTCGGTGCGGAACGTGTCACTGCGTTGACCGACGTGGAAACTGGGGATACACTCGAGATATCATTAGCAACCGGTGTATGTACCGATTGACCCAGTACCGGTGTTAAGGGTGGGGAAACAGAGCTGGAGGAGATGACTTGTCGGGAGCTTCTTTCCCACCCAGAGTGGAGACACACGGCGCTGTGAGATGGCCCACGGCGAGGAGAGCAGAGACACGTGGGTGTCGCACGTTCTTAATGAAGAAGGGCGTCAGCCCAGTCGACGCGTGTACCGCGTTGTTCAGCGCGAACTCGGCCAGAGGCAAAAACGAGCTCCAGCTGGAGAACGACGTCGCTTAGCTTCGAAGGACGTCTTCGAGGACGCGATTTACGCGCTCCGTCTGGCTGTCCGTTTCCGGATGAGCTGCCGTGGACATCAACAGCTTCAAAACCAGTAGCTCTAAGAGCTTTGATCAGAAGGCCGACGTGAAGCGCGGGTCGCGGTCGGAGACGATAGATTCAGGAAGGCCATGATGGCGGAGGACTGTATCGATGAAGTGCACCGCGGTATCTGCCGCGGTGATCGAATCCGACACCGGAATCAGGTAGTCCATCTTGCTGAAGCGGTCTACGAACACCAAGACACCTGAACGTCCTTTTGCGTCGGGTGGGAGCCTGAAGATGAAGTCCATCGACACCGAGCGTCAGGTCTCGATGACCACTGGTGGATGACGCAAGGGGGCCTGCGAAGACGAGGCAGATTTCACGCGCTGGCAGATCTCGCAGGTGCGCACCCACTTACGCACCCATTTATACAGGTGGGGCCAACAAAAGTCGCGTGACACAGCGGCAAACATCTTCTCGCGACCGAGATGAGCGCCTAGCGGGGCATCATGAGACTCATGGTTAATCCGTGAGCGCAGATCGGGGTCGTTAGGGACAACGACACGTCAGCAGCTCGTCATACGTCAGCAGCTCGTCCTCGAGACGATATCGGTGGATTTTGTTTCGTACAGAGCG